GCTGCAAGAGCAGATGGTCCAACCACTGCTGTGGGAGGTGACTTGTGCTTGAAACACAGGATCTCACTAAGAAATTGTGAGTCAGTCAGGTGGTCTGTGAGTTTAAGGTGCTGTTGAATGAAGAGTGCTTTTGCATCCCCAGACTCTTACTAAGTTGTGGTCATATATGTTGTCAAATAGGCTCATTAATTCTAATTGCACACAACAGGCACTTCAGCAAGTGCCATTTTCTGGGATTGTTACACAGTAACTATCTCACAGGGTGGTCTTTTTCTTCATTGGTTTTCTTTTGTGACATACTAATGTGACTTTCAAACTCTCTTGGCTGCTATTCTGCTCTTTTGCCTTCACAGTTATGAGCTTTCTGTTTTGGGCAAATGGCAGGTGCTCCAGGTACTCCAAGTAATTTTTGTATTGCTGTTTTTCCTCATCTTTCTCCTTAGATATCTACAAGTCCCCAAGGGCTCTTGACATCAATTTCTAGTAGCACAGACACTCTCATTTTCAATTTTCCATTGAATGAAATGTCAGCACATGACAAGCCATGCTTTGCTGGTGCCATGCTCTGATTTAACAGTGCTGAATATGGCCTCTATCATTTTCCATTAGTAGGTGCTTTACTATTTTGACACTGCTTTCTACCGACCTGTTGTAGTGGAAATAATGGGGACTTGTAGTGACATGCCTTGTACGTACTTCACTGTAAACTGCTAAAACTCATGTTCATTGAAGGTGTCCTGTTGCCAGATGTTACTAACACAGGTATTCTAAAGTGCAGCAGGGATAGTACTGACATGCACAAGTGACTCCTGAGATATAGTTTCTTCTATGCGGGAATGAATTTGATAGTCTGGGACACAAATAAGTTTGTTTTCTCCTAGGCAGAAGTGACAAATCTATACCTGCTTTCCTCTGGGGGATTACTTTTTTTCCCCTCCTTACACCATCTACATCTTTACCTTTCCTTCTGGCCTGTGCAACAAGAATAACGACAATTTCCTTAATCCTACTGCTTATCTGAGGCTGGTGTAAAATATCATTGGTCCTACTTTCAGATTTTAAATCCCTAAATGTTTCTCTGTGTGTCCTTTTTAGCACTTTTTTCTCTGATGTGTCAGGATTTCACATGTATTGAAACAAAGTCGCATTTAACAGTTAAACTTAACCCTTTATTATCTATTAAAACATAAGAGCTATATCCACTTTATTAGCTATTATGCACCATTTGGAGCAACTAGTGTTATCTGTGGCACTGGCCACAGTTACTTTCTGTAGGGATTTGCCCTCAACAGTTGTCTGCAGCAGTCAAAGTTCATATTTTGTCTGACACCCGACAGATACTTCTTTTAAAAGAGCTCGTGAGTGTAACAGATATAAAATCTGGTTCTGGATATTTTTGCTTCATAGTTCTTTTGTCAAGTACTCCAGAGACCATGTGTCTAACCATCATCAGATCTTGCTTAGTTTTTATGCAACATTGCAATTGTATATTTGAAACCAAAATAATTCTGTAGCCTTTTTGCTTGTGGGAAAGGTTAGGCTGAGAATTGCCAGGTCCCTTAGGCTGTAAAGAGTTTTATGATCCATGCGTGAAGACATGAAGCTTTAATGGTTATGGAGTAAAGCCAAAGCTTCTTTCTTTATTTATGTACACTAACACCCAATTTCTTCTATGAATAAATGACTGCTCTCCAAGTCTGACTATAGAACTTTGAAAAAAATATCAATGTCCTCACTAGAATAATCCAAGGACAAGTTAATTTTATGCTTAGATACCATATCTCTGACTGGGCCATCTTTGGTTAATGCCTTCAGATTTCCAGATGTTTTTGTAATACTTAAATCCTATGTCTGTTAGACAGTTTTGCACGGCAGCATTCAGGATGCTGAAGCAGGTTGATGAAGCACATATTTCTTTACATACTTTGTGTTTCAAATGAGTCTGTACTCCTTCATCTTAGTGTGGCCAGACTCTATCATCTTGCCACATTCACCCTGCTCTGCTGGATATTATCTCCATCATAAGGAATTTATGTGGTATTTGTCTAGATTTTGCCCTACAGCTTGTCTTCCATGGAAGGTTTATGAAGTCTCTGACTGCATTTTTCTCATATTTTTCTTAGATCAAAATGTCATGATACAGACTTCTGTACTGTATATGCTGTCAGAAATGTGCTGTATCTTTTTATGCAGTGCACAGCCCAACAGGGAACAGTATATCCCAAAGAAGGCGCTGAAGCTAGGCGAACATTTACTTTGCTTTGTGTCCCATGTAGAAATGCACTTGGTATCAATAACTACTTCAATGCTTTCTTGTATATAGGGAATATTTTTCCACTGTAAGTGAAAATTCCATCTTTTTTCTGGCAGTGACTAGACCCCCATTGCTAGGTCTCTGCTTGCTTTGAGGGTAAATGCTTCCACCTCATCTCCCTTCAGTTCTCAGGAATTTTCTTGGTAGTATGGTGGGAACCCATCCTGCAAACCTGTTCTGAAAGTTTTTGAGATGTTACAAAGTTCTGTGCTGCCCTCTGTGTTGTGTTTGCAACAGTGGACAATAACGGACACTCTTAGAAGAACATACCAATAGGATAAACATATCTGCTTCCATCTCCTGGGCTCCAGTAGGTTGTTCCTGAGTTGCTAAGCCAGAGACGGTATCATTATATAAAACCAATGGGTTTTTTTTCAACTGCTGATATCCAGATTCTGGCAGTGCTCTAGCTTGTGTATCAGTGCCCAACTTAAAAGCATGTAATTGTCAGAGTTGCTTCCAGACTGACAGTTCACATCTCTGCTGATGCAGCATTGTCCATTGCTCTTAATTACTTCTACAGAGCTTTCCTCTGAGTTAGTGGTGTTGCTGTTGTTCTTGTGTGATGTTGGTTTTTGTCTCTTGCTGTGCGTGCTTTTGTACCACTTGCAAACCGTTGGTGAGTGCCATTTGCTTGTAGTTTATGCACCTATTTCCAAATGCTGGGCATTGTTCTGACTTCTGTTGTTTTCACACTTTGCATCTCTTCTTGTGTTTTTCATTGTGAAACATTTGGTTTTCTACGTCCTGTCCTTTATCTTTAAATCTTTGATTCTCTAAAATACCAGTTTTTGTCTGGATTGGGTGACTTCCTTTGCTTGATAGATGGGGATTACTTCACTGAGGATTAACTGTGGACCTTCCAGTAGACCAAGGTTCTCTCTTCTGAGCCAGGACTCAAACCCTCAAAACTGGCTAATGAGCCAGTTGGTCAGAGATTAGTCACCTTCTTCTCTGCTTTCACTCTCTGCTTAAAAGTATCACATGCATCTATTTCATTTTTATAGAATGCCTCACATTTCAGTAATGAGCCTCAGAATTCATCTGTCTTGGCCAAGCTAACAGAAAACCATGGAAAATATGAACTTCTTTAAAACTGAATATTGTCAAAAATAATGTTATTTCCTCTGTCTCTGCTGCTGCTACTAGTTCCTTATGGATACGGATTTTTTACATTTCTGTTCATATGAGGGTTTAGGCAAGTATAGAAATTTCAGAGGTGCCTCTACTTTTTTCACAAATTGGAGTAAAAATTACCTGCTTTGCAGTCCCAGAGCCTTGGCCAAGAAAGTTATTTATGAAGAGATGGAAAGCTGGCAGCCTTTTTTTTTTTTTTTTTTTTTTTTTTTGTCTTGGGTAGGAACACACACTATTCATGGTCTATTACTTTGCTTGGGGAACAGTTTATATAAACTTAGTGAACCAGCAACCAATAATGTCTGTCTTTCTTGTTACCATACTTTTGTAATTGATATGGCCATAGAGGAAAGCCTCAGAATGATGTTTTCTTCCAAATCATCCAGGTTGTGTTCAGAAATATGCCTCTGTAAATCTGTTGAAAAAAGCAATATGTTGCTGAACAAAGAGCAAATTTGGAGATCCAAATATATGGTTATAGCACAAAAGCAAATTCTACACTTAAGCAGTGCATACTTTTCATAGATATCAGTGGAAGATTCACAAAAGGTTAAGTAAATTCACTAAATTATTAGTCTAATCTATGAACCACAATTAAAAATGGAATGCAGGCATCTGTCTTGAAAGTGCCAGAGCCATCAGGGCTTTAATTCATGTCAGCTCCAAATTTCTCCAGTGCCTACAGCATGAATGGTATTTTACTCAAGACTTGGATACTACCTGTTAAATTCACAACTATTTCCAATCTGAATCACTGTAGCCCACAGCCACGATAAATTATGCTAATTTGGACTAAAGCACTCCTAATCCAGAGTAAGGGTATCTACATGGAGAAATAATCAGAAAGAATGTACCTGATTATAGAAAGAATAGCTTTTTTTTTTTTTTTAAAAATAAATTCCCCATGAAGGGAAAACCCACATGCAAACAAAATGAAGGCAGAGTGAATTAATGTAATTGAAATGTTGACGGACCAGAAGAAAAAGGAGTTTAACAAGGAAAGCGATTGAAGAGTGAATGCACAAGCTTGCAGGCAGTGCCTGCACCTTACAGTGTTGCAGGTCCATGTTGCATGTCTGACCAACTGAGGCTGTCTTGCTCAGGATTTAAGTGGTTGTAAGTTAAGTTAAGGAAAGAAAGGCGAATATCTAGGCTGCGTAAATGGGTCTGATTTCTCTTTCAGGGTGGTCAGTGCAAGGACTTTCAGGCCAAGGGAAGCATTTCTGTAATCTTAAATGCGAGCTGAGGTTGGTCCAGGCAGTGCGTGAGTCTCGTGTGTGTCATTGAGGCAGCTGCAAGGGAAGATTGAGAAGGGGGAACAACCCAGTGGGATGCTGAATTCAGCTTTTCCTAGTGAATATTAATGCCTACAAAATTTATAGACGGATGCGTTCACGTCTGAAGGAACTGCCTTATAGTTTTGCTGATCGTGCAGGAGCGGCATGCAAAAAAGGGGGAGGAGGAAGAGGAGGAGGAGGAGGGAGGGAGGCAGGCTGCCTCTAGGACCCGTGCAAGCCTTCCCGAGCAGGAGGTGGGAGTTCTCCTCCGAGGCAGCAGGAGCCCGAGACCAGCCTCAGAGCTCTGCCGAGCCCTCGGGAAGAGCCGGGCACCAGGCTGGGATCTGCCCGCAGAGCCATGAGCCGGCTCCCACCGCTGCTGCTGTGGGTCACCACAGTGGGTAAGTAACTTATTTTTCTTCCGCGTATCTCGTTATGGTGCAAACTCCCTCTTATGCCCAGGGATTCAGACTTATTTCATTGCCCCTACCCTTTTACCTTTAAAACCAGTAAAGCATTCTTTTCAAAACAGTGGGGGAAATAAAAGGAGAGGGGGGAGAAAGCACTGGCATATAAAGTGGATGACATGTGGGAAGATAAATCTTGATTGTTATTGATTCTAAGTAAATTTTGTTCACTAAAATGAATAGGTGAGCCATAATTTTAGAAAGGCTGCTGCTGACCGAGGCGCTTAGGCTGGAAGCAGGCGCTGTCATTGTACAAGGGCTCAGCGTGACATTAACAGCTATACCCCAGGACCACTTTGCTTCTCTGATTACTGGATTGCTTTCCCTGGGACTGTTGGAGAGGTGGGTGAAAGTAATGCTCCAGCAGTAGTGAGGGTTGCTTACAGGAGAAGGTGTAGTTTGGAGAAGATGCTTTGTCTAAGGAGAGAGATGAGGGAGACAGATAAAGGGAGAAGGTGTTGGGACTATGAAAGATGGAGTTATAAGCTCCTACATAGAGAGGTCTTCAGGTTGAGTTTTGAAAGGAATCTTTTTGTTGCTGGGTTTGTCATTGTCAATTTTGGTTCTGAAATGCAGCAAGAGGAATGAAATAGCAGTGGGAGAGAGATGTTAGGAGGGAAGCTGCAGTAACAGGAGAGAAGTTGGGAAGCGGCATCATACACACAAGCAATGGTGGGAGAAGGTAGGAGTGGGACACATTTGCTATATGTGCACAGTGGTAAGCAAACTCATTATGAAAATTAGGGGAGAAAAACCTGTATCAGGACATGCTGAACTTCTCAGAGAGCTGAAGTTACAATAGTACCCCCACTGCAGAGACAGAGACGTCATCTTGACCCTTAGAAAAATATCAGGAGACACCTTTGTATTTCTCAGGTAACAAAACACAGTACTTCCAGGCAGGGAAGGAGGCAAGGCAAACAGGTTGTTGGGTGCTATGACTTGCTCATGCTAGCATAGTGAAATTCTCTGTCTCTGGCTAAATGCTGAATGTGTATGTATTCTCTTTTATACTAAGACAGGCTGGGACATCAGTTTTTAAGCAGGTTTCATCGTTTAGTTCTATTTACAATTGAATGCCAAGGCATGGCACACAGTTTGATTTCTGAGTTTTTCTGGCCTGTTATTCCCATTGGGAGGAGATTGCTTTACTGTCAAAGGGTCCCTGGGCAAGTGTACCCCATGCAAGCAGAGCTGTGTGTCCCCACAGCCTCATTTATCATGGCATATGGTTTCATCAAGAGCTAGATATCATCCTAGTGTTTTTAGTGGAGTGAATTTTAACATGCATGTAAGGTTAATGTAAGGAATAGTCATTATATTTGCTGTATCTCCAAGTCTGCGATTTGAAGCATGACTGTATTAGGACAGAGATAAAAAAAGGTGTGTTTCAGAGCGAGTAAAGGGCTAAATGAAAACAAATGTACATTTTACAATCCCTGTCCAATCTTCTGCCAAAAATAATCACCCAGGGAGAGACTTGGATGCATGAGCATTTAACTGTGTCACTGCTGTCACAATCTTCACATAGGGGTTGCTTGTCTCACTGGGTTATTATGGTCAGCTGTCAGACTCTGCAGACAGTTATTGTAAAAACCACTTGTGCTTCCACTGAGGAAGTTTTCTTGGAGCATATTCTTGGTGTGGCTTTACATTTTCTTCTTTATTTGGAAAGCTCAAGGTCTTGGTGATGAGGGAATTTACAGCTCCACTTTTATCTCTTGTTTTAACTGCCTGTCATGTACCTTTCTAATGAGCTGTATCCTAAAAGGATAGTTTGAGAGTTCCCATTCATTGAAAATTTTTGGCGCACCAAAACATTGGAGGAGGTTGGAACTCCTTTTGGTGCAAATATTAAGACTCTATGAGAAAGTTCAGAAAGTTGTAGAGAACAGCAGGAAAAAATCCTCATAAAAAGAACCCCAAAACCACTACCACCAAAACCTGAAAAGGAGTCAGTGCACAAATGTGTATTGTTCAGTGTCAAAATAACTTCACAGTCATTTGGAGGCTGAGGTTACACGCTAATCTCAGGAGATAGCTAGTAAGGAGGTGAAAAAAGCCACCAGATAAATGTGTGGGAGAATTTTCTTTTTATTTTCAGCACCAGTGTTGCTTTGAGTCTTCATATTGGATGATTTTCCTTTGATTACTTGAATTTGGTTGAGGGAGTTGGTCAGTCCTTATCTCCTCTGTGAAAAACTGGGTGGTGCTTGGCCAGATGTCATGTTCTTGCCTTTGGGTGTGGAGGGCAAACTGTCCGCAAAATTACAGCAGAACATATGTCCTGGGGAAACCTCAAACACCTTTCCAAAAGTGTGGTCATGTTTATGTCATTGCTTAGAGTTTAGCTGTTGAGTATTTCTACAGTTCTTGAGATAATATTAGTAGATGCATTTTCTCAAGTCTTTCTTCACAGCCCTTTCCAACACTTGTAGTGGAGCTGTCACAGAATAGTATAACTTATGTTTCATTTCAGCCTGAGGATTGGTAATGGTTTGGGGTTTCATTGAATATTTCTAAGGCAGAGAGGCAAAGGGAGGTTGGTGGCAGGTTTAGGAGTAAGACAGCCAGCCTCCTGTTTGTTTATTTGTTGAATGGTGTATCAGCATGGCAACGGTGAACACCCCATTCCTGGATGTTACTTCCTCCTTGCATTTGTCTAACAAACTGTTGTCAGAAGCCCTGAAGGTTTTCTTCCTCTCCCTGTGTTTGTCTGCTTCTCAAAATTGAGCTGGCCTGTTTTACAGAGTGAGTATAAGCTTGTTTAAGTTTAATCAGTCCACAGATGCATGAAGATACCTCTACATGAGTACCTCATTTTGTTGTAAGCCAATTTAAAATAAACCAGTGCATCTATCTCACTTAGATAAATCTTTACTGCTTTGTGTATCGCTTTGTCTGTCTAGAGGAGAGCACATCAATAGTGGAAGGGATGGGATCCTACATTCTCTTTTGCCTCTTCATTGAAGAGCTTCTCTCATTTTCTTTTTCTTGTGCCTATCTCTGCTTAGTTAAAGTAGCACACAGGTGCAGTAGTGGTTTCAATATTTTCACTTAAATAGTTAAAACCCACACAGCACCCCAATGATCCTTAAAATTTGTCATAGGAGCTGGGTCTGTGGTCCTTTACGGTGCAAATGACAGCTTATCTGCAGATACTGTGATCAGTCCAGATATGCAATTCAAGGCACTGACTGCCACTGAAATTCAAACATTGGGTAGATGCCTTGAAATAAAAGAAGACAGTTCTTTTTAAGTCACAGACATTACAAATTTGAGGACCCTTTGAAATAGAGTGGAAAAAGATAGGATAGATATATGGGAATCCCACAGTAAGGGAGTACATGCAGCAAACACTGGGGATTTGTAAACTCCATCAAGAGGGAGGACTAAGGGGGAGGAGGAAGAAATCAGGTAGTGAGGCGTGCGTACCGTTACTTTGGAGCTGAAGACAGTATCTTATGATCAGCCATAGGAGAAATCTATCTGTCTGTCAGTGTTACGTAGTTGCACAGTCTCCAATTAGCCTGTAAGATCAAAGTTGGAGGAAAGGATGCCCCGCTCCAGTGGTACTTAAAAGCATTCCTCTCCCACCCCCCAGGGTCCTAAACAGATACACAGGAGGGTCCCTGTCTTCAGCCTGCCTGTATGTGTGCTGGGGTGCGCGCCGGCTGTGCTGGTGTGTAGAAGTGCAACTGTGATTTCCGTGACTAGAGTGGAGAGAAATTTTAAACTTGAATTAATTTTAGTGAAAAATGCTGATGTGGTGACACTAAAATGCTTTATAAAGTGGTCTAGGTTGTGAGTTGTTATGTATGGAGGTTTGTTTTATGTGTGTGCACCAGTTAGATCATATTGAGACATTCAAATGAATCTAGCTGGTTTAATGTTTGTTTGGTTGTGTTATTTTTTTTTTTTAATTCAAACTTTTGCTTAGAGAAGTCTTTTATTCAAAAATCTTAAATCTTTATTTAAAACCTGATTTCATATCAAATGTTTAGTTTAGACATGAAATGTTCAACACTTCCTGAAATGTGTTGATCTTTGCAATTTTATAAAACTTCTGAAAAATGTTCAGGTTGACCCGTGTCAGATGGTTTTGTTTTGTTTTGTTTTTTTAATTTCTTTGGGCTTGCCAGTAACTTGGAAAATCCTGTATTAAAGCTGCTCAGTTATCTTGTAATATCACATACCAATTTGTACCCGGATTTGTGCATGCAGGTGGTTGTCCTCAGGCTGATGTGCATTACTGCACATATACACAGTGGCCCGTACTGTTGTTTGTAGCTTGGTATTGGATTGAATTCTTCAGAAATAAAGGAAGCAAAGACAACCTGAACTTTTTGCAAACCTTTAGTAAAAGGAGGAGCACAAATCAGCTGCTGAGAGAAGAGGCAGGTGAGCTCTTTCCAGAAATAAATGGAGAGGAAGGAATTCATGGGGTTCTTAGTTAACACAAATTGATGGACCTCTACAGGAATATAGTTGCAGCAGTACAACCTCTTGCCTTCTGTATCTGGAGACTTTTATCTGAGACTCTTACGAGTAAGCATGATTTCTGTATTGAATACTTAAATCAGAGAGGAAAATAATGACATTAATTATGTTAATTAATTGGATCAGGCTTATAGTCTTTTCCTGTCTCTCAGCATCAGTCCTTCCTCTTACAATTCCTCTTCCTCCATACCATTATAATTACTTCCCTGCTTCTCTTCTCTCTTGGTGTGTAACAAACCCAGTGCTCTGATGTGGCCTGTTATCAGCAGAACAGGGTGTGCACAACGATGAAACCCATGGCAGGCAGGATAGCAGGCCAGCTTGGAAAAGGGGTGAGTTGAGGTGTTTGATAAGAGGTGACTTGCAACTAGTCTGACATATATGCTCTGAGTAAGTGGGGAGAACCAAGATCTCTTGCGAGAGTGGTGACAGCT